CCCCAAAACCCCAAAACCCCAAAACCCCAAAACCCCCCAGAGTTAAATCATTTGCTTTCAATTGTCTAGATAATATTAATATAGAATAATATTCTAAACGTATGAAGTAAATTCTAAATTGATATTAAAGTGATATCTACCATATATCTTCAATGTAGACTGTATAGATTTTAATATTTCCTGAAGAGTTAAATCAGTGATCAAGAACATTTAGTGCATCATCAACTCTGTTAAAAGCATCATTTAGCTCAGCCTCAGTGATGATAAGTGGTGGGGCAATGTGCATGACTGGTGGTCTTACCCATGCTTGAATGCCATTTTCAAGAAGCTTGGCCTTGAATTTATTGACTTTTTCTGGTACTGGGTCTGAATAAGATTTCATGATAAGCTAGCCATCAGCACCGACTAAGTCAAAAGCTCCAAAGAGTCCTCTAGCTCTTCCTTGTCTCAAACTGTTATGCTTCTTTAAGAGTTCTTCCATTCTATTAATCATAACTGGCTCTAGTTTCTTAACGTTTCCAACTACGTCCTTCTCTACCATATACTTGATAACTTCGTAAGCACAGATACATGAAACTGGATGAGCTTAGTAAGTGGTTCCCCAACCAAGAGCATTAGTTCTGAAGTAATCTTGAATATCCTTCCTGAAACCAACACCAGAGAGAGGAAGGAATGATCCTGAAAGACCCTTAGCACAAGTAAAAATATCAGGTACAATTCCATCATAGGTTTAGAAACCGAACATTTCTCCAATTCTTCCAAGACCTACCATTACCTCATCCATTATCATTAAGATGTTATACTTGTCGCAGAGAGCTCTTATGCCCTATATGACTTCTGGAGGATTAATTAAAACACCAGCTGAACCAGTTACAGTCTCAACCATAATAGCAGCTATTGAGTTTGGATTTTCGCTAAGAATAGTCTCTTCTAGATATGCGAGATATGTCGAAACAGACTATTGCTAGTTTTATCCCCATTAGAACTGAAAAGCTTGTAAATCAAAGAATTTAACGAAACCACTTACTCCAGACTCTCCAAATTATCTTCTAAAGTCACCTGTGGCAGTCAAAGGGCCAGTAGTACCTCCGTGGTAAGACTTATATCTAGTGAGAATCTTTTATTTACCTGTGAATCTTCTTGCTGCTCTAATTGCTACTTCATTTGCCTCACTTCCTGTACAGGGGAATAAAAATCCAGTAATATCCTTAGGTGTTACATCATTGAGAATCTATGCAAGCTTAGCTTTAGGTTCAGTAATAGTTAAACCTCCATATAACTAAGGAAGAGTGGTCAACTATTTAGTAATGGCTTCAAGAACTGATGGGGGAATTGAGTAGCCTAAGTTGTTATTAATAGCTTATGAAGTGAAATCAATGTATTTTCTGCCTTGATAATCAAAGAGATAGATACCTTCACCTCTCTTGAAGTCTTTAGCAGCCTTCCTCATTGGATCAGTGGCACCCCAAGTAAACACAACGTGATCTTCTGTACTTTTTACTATATCTTTTAAGTCCCATTCTTTAACATTGTGACCTGGAATAAGTCCTTGAGCCTTATTATCCTTTGGCTTGAACTCAACTGGGTCTGGTTTGTTAGGAATGTAAAATTGGTTGACCTTGGAGAACTCTTTACTCTAGGCTGAGATCAATGAGATGATATTAGAACTCCTTGATGTTTTAAATATGGATTTGAACATGATTTCAAAATGTTTTGAACTATATTAGTATTATTATTAAAAGATCCAATTGATAATTTTAAGATATCTCATTCATGTTCTCAATTTTCAGCAAATCTAATTAATTCGCTTATTGGGGTTTTGGGGTTTTGGGGTTTTGGGG